CCCCCCCCCCTGTCTAGATGGTGGGCTGTATACGTACTGAGCAGTGTATGGCTTTGGCGGATCAGATCCGCAACTTGAGTTTCGCGGCAGTGGCTTAGAAGATATAGCGCATACGTATTTCTGTAACGTCGAGACACGTAATGACAAGGCTTGAGGTTGTATTTTGGGATACGGGAACTATTTTACTCAGCCCCTTGTTGGAAAGCGAATCAAATACGGTAGGACGTTGCACAAGTACGGGTAGAATTGTGGAAATAGGGCTGACTAGGCTTACTTGGGTTGATATTCCGGAAATTGGGTTTGATGAACGGCAATCTTTTCCATCGGTACAGTAGGTAGCGTTGTCCCGGTGCCCCGTTGCTCGCTTTCTCGTCGAACACCTTCCCGTCGGGCTAGGGATGTTGGTATTGGAAGTCACATTTATGACGACGATGTTTGCTGCAGGATACTAATTGTGTATCAATAACGTGACCAGCTCTCGGGCTATGTCCCGATGGGCCAGAACGAGAAGATCAACATAGCGATACAATGGCACCTGGTGACCGTTTGCCTGAAAGGGTTCTTTAGCTGGTACTAAATGTTACACCGGCACTTTCTGTAGTAGCGCACAAACAGGAAGTATCCCTAGATCAAAGGATGTGCTGATGTAGGATATAGGTCAGACCACCCACAGTGAACTGCTTGATGAATCTTGTACTTTTCAGGATTTACGGTCCCAATGTCTGGAGATCCCTATTCTCAGATCATGACAACTGATGAGTAGTCAGAAAATTATGTACGATGTGGAATCAAGAAGTACACTTTTCTTTATGGACACTGCTATGGACTGCCTTAGTCATTATATCACAGATGTAAGATCGATATGTTATACGTCTCAGTTATAGCAGAAGTCTGTATCGAGTAAGTTCCCGCGCAGTAGTAGACCTATGGAGTGGTCTACGCCTGAGTACTAGTGTGAATATCGCTGTGAGCAACTTAGTCACATGACTAGGGACACGGGTTTGCGAGGAATTCACTATCTACAAAGACTATGACTATAGTCCTTGAGTAATACATTCACATCACACAATGAGAAAGGAAAAAGTGCACAGCATTCAATTTGAGTAAAAAAAGATTGATTCGAGTCCTTGAGGAGCTCTTCATGGAATGGCCATGTTGGGGTATTCTTTCTAAAAATGCTAAAATCAAAAACGCCAATGGATGTATGCAAGGGGGTATCGTCCGTATCCATGTCCCATAACCGAAAGAAAGAAAACAAAAACACGCCAACGCTATGTGAAAAATCAAAGGGAGCATGATTCGCCTGTGCATCGTTGATCGTGCGTCATCATCGTACTCGTTTGTACCAGTGGCCTGCCACAGGAGACAAGGTTTTTGGGGAATATACAAAGGAAAGACATGAAGACAACATGAAAAAAAAGGAAAGTTATAGTCGTTGAAAAAATGAATGGGGCTTGTTCCTAAATCAATCCGCGGAACTTGGCACCGTTCTTGTGATAGATGCTGCGGACCGACGCCGGAGGAGTAGTGATGACTGGCGCAATAGGCTGAGTGGCAGCAGGTGCGGTGACAGTGACCATGACGGTGGTTGTGACGACGGAAACGCCGTCGTTGCCAGACTGGGAAGGGGTAGGCACGACACCAGGAGGGGCACTGAAGGTTGGGATCGCAACCGCAGATGTAGTTGGAATGGCGGAGCGAGTGCTGTTGGAGAAGGGTGGTCCACCAGTAGGAATAGAAGGAAGAGCGGTGCCGGTCGCAGAAGGAATGCCACCATCAGAGTCGCCTCCTCCGGAAAGAAGAGAGGTAACAGGGCCCATCTCGCGCTTCAGCGGCATCTCATTGTAAAGTGCAGTTCGCGCACTCCAGTCGCTGACAGCAGTGCTGACAGCATCCTGCTGGCCCATGGCGTATTCAGACATGTCAGCGTAGTCAAGAGCCTGCATTGCGACTTTGGGAGATGCAACGTCGACATCGATGCAGGTGCTGTAGTATTCATCCTTGCCCTTGTCGAGACCTGGTGTCTTTCCAGGAAGAGAAGTCCACTGCCACACCCAGTACAAAGTGTAGGCCTTGTCAAGCTCGACGTCTTCTGGGAGCTTCACGTCTGTTTCGCAGTACATGACTGAGTTGGCAGGGCCAGTCTCTGGTGTGTTGGCCATGTAGGCGGGGTCGGCTACCTTGCGTTCCATGGCGACGGGGGTCTCGTTGTTCAAGTAGCAGCGGCCATCATCGTAGTCGTTCATGGCTAGCAAAACTCCGCGCTTGTCACCACCCTGACCATCCTGGGTCCACTGAAGGACATCGAAAAGCTTCTCGTCGGTCTTTGGCTCTTTTGTACCATAGACGTAGACGGTGCCGCCTTTTTCTGGCTTTTCGGGGTTGTTTTGTGGAAGTGTGACGTGACCGTTCTCCTGGTAGCGGATGGCGACGAAGCCACCAGGCACAGTCTTGAGGCGTGGGAACTTGTCCGAGGATTGTTTTTGCTCTCGCTGCGTTGGTGCACAGAGTAGTTGGTCGGCGTCGATGAAGACCTTGCCCTCGGTATTGGACTCGGGCATCCTCCAGGTCATGGAGTTGTCTGTATCCTTCCCATCGGGGCCTTTCTGACCCCGATCGACCATGCCTCGCGGATAGCCATAGGCACCCACGTATTTGCCTTTGTCGTCGATGTTGCGGAGCTGCTCTCCCCAACTGTGGGAGTGGACTAGGGGAAAAGCGGCGAGTGCCGCAACGATGGTATTCCGTACAGAAGGCATTGTGATATGTATGTATATGTGTGTGGTGGAAGTTACTCAGTGATTGTGTCTGGAGAAAACAAAGAGCTTGTAGAATGAGAAGGTTCCGTGGGAAGAAATGCAGGGGTGATATAAGTGAAGTGGGATTTGGTACGTGATGGAACAATGTGTAAGGTCATGTGCTTTGTAGACGTCTTCACCTCTGGAGCAACAGTGTTGCTATTGTTCAATAAAAAGCCGTGTCGTGAATTCCGCACAGCGTGTTCCAGACAGGCAGAGCAAGGAAATAAAAAACAGAGAAAAAAATAGACAAGAGAAGTGAAGTGAAGATACAACAAGGAGGGGTGTGTGAGAAGCGATTAGGTTCGCGCAACCATGTACCTTTATTCCAGGCGGGCAATGTGGTCAAACATGGTTCAAAATCTCCGACCCAAAGGGACAGAAGCGATCAGAGCCAATGGAGAAGGAGACATGTGAGGGATCGAAACAAGGCGCCACCGCACGCGATGCTGCAGACAACATTCTGTGCCTGCAGCCGAAGATGTTTGGGTCTTGGGACAGCGTTTCAACGCCGACCTCCACTACTATAGCCGCCAGCCATGGGTTTACTGGTCCCACCGCGCAACTGGCGGCGTAGCGCGCACACCTGGCAGCATTGGGCACAGATTATTTTTTTGCGGCGCAAGGGCCAGACTCTTGTGCTGAGATGAGTAGTTCGTGACCAGGCGGCTAGACTAGGCGTGCATCCGATACGTTAAGAGGAGTAATTAAGGTATTGGAGGGCAAGGCGAGCCGTTGATCTACAACACGAACACGGCAGCTAGCCTTTTGTCCAGTTGCCGTGCCGAATTGCGGGTCTGTCCGGGGTCAAGTTGCACAGGGAAATAACCAAGGGCGTGCGAGCCGCCCGCAGCGTCAGAGAGTGCGTTGGGGGATGGATGCAGCGGCCAGGACGGTACGACGAGAAGGACAGCGACGCGTAGGTGTGCAGCATGAAGATGGGGACTGGGTACACGCAAGTGTACCGGAGCGAGGCTTGGGCGATCCGACGATAGGTGAATGCGAGCCCGATACAGCGCATCGAGAAGGATGGGATCTGGTGGCAGTGGTGGGTGGGGCGAGGTTTGGTAGCAGTGCTCAGGCTGCGTTTCAGGCCGGCCGGCTTGCGGGACTTGATTGGCTCTGCGGCTCACGCTACGCCGCAGCCTAACACGTGAGTGCGCCCGTATGATTGGCCCGTAGCGCCCCAGCATGCCATGCTACTATTTTTCTTCTTCGTTGTCGTCTTCTGCATTCTATGCGACCACTTTGACGCCCATCTATTTTCCGAGATTAGCACCCGAGATTCAGGGCCCCAAGTATAGGCACTTGGCTACTAAGGCGCGCGTGGCACCCGCTCGGCATCCCAGGTCACGCGCACCCAAGAAATGAGCAATTCACCCCATCGTCCAAGGCCAGCCACCAAAACCGACTTCTTATCGATAGCCACTGTTTCACGGATCAGCATCGGCACTTGGGGCCCAGGCCACCCCCCGCCTGTCAGCAGAACCGGCAGATTACAGGAAGTCGTCTCGAGGCTAACCACGTCGGACTACGTCCGTAGTCTTTATTGTGTAGTGGCGACTCAAACCCGCAACGCTTGAGGACATGCGTTTCAGTGACCGAAGAGTCGCACTCAATCCTACCAGCACCATTACCAAACTCAAATCCTTCCATGGAGGGGCTCATAATATAATATGGCAATCTGCGTATACATGGCGTTTCTTAGACTGATTCAGAAGAAGCAGTGGGTATTCCGCTTGCTCTTACGCATCGTCCACTGAGATCACCTCATACAAACTGGTTGACTTGAGAACAGGGAAGCAGTGACTTTGTTTTTCCTTGCCCTTCTCCCGCCAGTAGTCGAGTAATCCGGTTCGAATGGTTCTGGACTACACATAGATGCGCTAACGTACTACCTGAAACACTTTGACCCAACCAATTTCTACACCTACCGAGTCTACATGCACACTGCATCATTCTTTTTTAAAAAAAAATACCGCAGCTGAAGTCCGCACGTGGGCATGAGTTTAGGGGTATGCAGAAATAGTCTGCATAAATTTGCGCACCTGACTATCCATGTGTTGGACTTTGTCCTGTAGTGAGTTTTACCAGTTGAAGGGGCTACCATCATCTGCTACACCAAGATCTCTCTTGGCAGATTCACTGCGAGGGGCTTCTTTCACCCCTCCCAGGTTCCAAGCTATGCATCCAAGCCACATGTAGCAGGGTGGAATGACGTCTACGCAGTGAGACATTATTGCTGTTTCGATACTGGTACGGATATCAAACCGTGAGATAGGTACCATGGTGTTGTTGAGACAGACTGAGTGGAACAGCACTTGCCATTTCAGCACTTGTCATCTCAGCACTTGCCATGTTCTTGGGGGTCCGAAATAGCCGGATGAAAACTGCCACTACCACAATAGTGTAACTATGCAATAGTGCTAATATTACTTGCTCGTTATATATTGGGAATATATAGTTGAATAGAACTCGACTTAATGAGAATACTTAATACTTTACAAATTTCACAGAATTCTACATTAGTAATCAAGGCTGTAATCTGGATTGATGTTGGACATAGTGATTATCCCGCTATTGCGGTTCCCTGAGAGCAATCTCCCCTATACTTTCCATTTCCCTTATCTCTCTTCATTTCCCAAATACTGTGATTCTCAGCAACGGAGAGAGAAGTGACAGTGAAGTATCGACAATCGCAGTCAACATGAATAAACGAGTCTTCAACACTGCATTTTGCATGTTACATCCCCCCATTCTCGTAACTCACAGCTACATCCCTTTCAATGAGTACATGCAGAAGCAACCGTTTCCTCTACAAACCCCATCATTGACCCAGAAAAAAATCCATCACACATGTCCCTTCTGTGAACTCCATCAACACCATCACATATGAACCTCCTCCATATAAAAAAAAACTCCGCTCCTCTCCCCAAAATATGATCCTTACCATACAAAACTCACTACTAACCCCAGACCCACTTACCAAGCACAGAAACCAGAACAAACCAAACCCACCAAGTCAAAAAAAAATGGCCGTAGACCTATCCCGCCCGACAGACTGCCAATGCAGAGTCGTCCAAGACATCTGGACCTGCCAACACACCCGCGAGGTCTACTCGCAAACCTGCTACATGGTGTCGCACTGGCCATCTCGCTGGGTCACGTTTTTGACCCATCAGACGTTTTGCCCGGAGTGCTTGGCGCGAATTGCGAGGGCGGCACGGGAGTTGGAGGAGAGGGGTAGGGAGGATGAGGAGCGGTAGATTCTAGAAAGGTGTGCTTATGGGTAGTAGAAGAGGGGAGGGGGGAGGGGGGCATGTATTAGTAGGTATTAGGAAAGACCGGGGGGGATTTTTGTTGGAGAAAGGAAGGAAAAGGGGGAAAAGGCCATGATTAGATATGTTTAAAAAGATTATAAAAAAAAGATGGGTAAAACACTTTCAATCCTGCATATCCTCATCTTCGTCTTCGTCTTCATCCTCGTCATCATCCGTCTGCGCATCATCCTGCTCCCCATCCTCCAACCCCGCTGTATTCCTCACTTCAACAAGTCCAAAGACTTCATCAGGCAAGCCGTTCCAGCCTACCTCCCTCTTCACGGTGATGAGGCCAAATTCGCATACGCCATTGAACCCACCATCACGGCGACTCTTGCCGAAAAAGCCCACGACGATTTCATCTTGGGCGGGTTTAACCTCGATGATTTCACTTTCATCTTCCGTATTGAGTTCACCCTTGCTGTCTCCATTCGACAAATGCACGCGGACGCCACCGTCGGGGTTAACTTGGACGGAGGTAATTTCGACGCCCTCGGGTAGCCTTATCTTTTCGGAGGCGTGGCCGCCGAAACGGTGGGTGGAACCGTACGTTCGCATTGGACCCCAGTGAGACACATGGCCGTCCGCGTACTTGACTACACCGCCGTCCCAGAGACAGCCGACGCGCAGGTCAATCGACACGGCGCGGTGCAACTTCCCGTCTGCGCCGCGTTCGCGGAGGAGCTGCGCCCATTCGTAGGGGTCGCGCGGACGGTAACGGTCGGAGGAGTCGGAGGAAGTGTATGCGAGGTGTTTGCGGAGGACGATGCTGGAGCCGGGGATGCGGATGAAGGATTTGCTGGCGAGGAGTTTCCACACGTTTGCTGTGGTGGTTTCGCGGCCGTTGGAGGCGAGGATGCGGAGAGCGAGGGGCGAGGTGCGGGTGAAGCGCTCGTCGAGTTCTGACTCGGTGAATTGCATGGTTGTGGGGGCATTGTTGAGCCATTCTTCGGGCTGCGAGTGCTCGGTGTTGTTGAAGGTTATGCGTGCGATGCCGCTGGGTGAGTTGATGTGGAGGATTGCGGGACCACCTTCGTCATTGTGAGTTACACTCACGTCTGGCCTTGCTTTGCGAGTGGTTTCGGGGAGGATGGGGTCGGTTGGGAGGCGGAAATGGGGGAGCATGCGGAAGGAGAGTGCATCTGCTAGGTCCCAGCGTGCGTTGTTGGGTGTGTTTTCCGGGTCAACGACTACGCCTTCTTGCTTCAGGTAGCGCGAGTATGCGGTTTGAGAGACAAAGTTCTTGACCCAGTCTTGGGCGTAGCCTCGCTCCATAATACCAGGGCGATGCGGCGAGCCGAATGCATGACCGACTTCATGCATGTGAGCACCCTGGCCAATTGCACAGGCTTCCCATAAGGTAGTACACTGTCCGTTGTCGTTACCCACCTTTTCTCCAGGCTTGCGGGTGTCGGTCAAACAGCTGGTAACTTCTTCTAGAAAGCGTGGCCAAGAGTAGGTCAAGTGGCTTCCAAATATGCCCAATGATATACCACGCTGATCATGGCAACCAAGGGCGGCGTGTCCGAGAATAAGATCCTTGGACTTGCTGTAGTGAGAGTCTAAGATCAGGCCAGCTACTATAGGCTGAGCATCAGGAACGAACGGACCTCCAGCATCTGTCAATGCTTCCTTGAAATAGTCGAAAACGGCGCCCTTGGTGCGAGCTCTTTCATTCTGCTGTGCGATGTTCTCGTCGCGAATCTCCTTGACTGTCTTGGAGGAGCGGATGATGTGAATCTTGGCTGTAGACCGTATAGCATCGTCCTGTGCGAGAGTTTGGCCAATGCGCGCATTGGTAAACTCCCGACTAACAGTGTCTGCAGTCCATTCCTCCTCCAATCTAAAGGAGCGCCTTCCAATACCTTTTTGTCTCAAATCTTCGGCAGTCATGGCTTGCCACATGTACGCAGTCATACGAAGCTTGGCAATGGCAGCATCCAAGTCCGAATGTGCTGAAGATACACCAGCAGCCTTGTTAGGAGGACAATCCATGAGATACGGCGAGTCAGAAGCAACCATGATTGCGAGGTGGAGAGGTGGATACTGCATCAGAGGCCAGTAATTGACGTTCATCTCAACAGTATGTTCGATGCAGTCGTTACAGATGTAGGCGAATTCGAGCCTGTTCAATCCTGGCGAGAGCATGACCATGGCCTTGAAATGACCGCCTGCTAGAGGCCATGTCTGCTCTGGGAAGTTTTCGGATTTGTTTGCTGCTTTGGTAGTTACGTGGATGTAACTTCCTTCAGCGGCTTCGAAGCCATACGTTCCGGTGACAAGAAGGCAGCGCTAGGGAATGTGTTAGTAAGCTCAACTAATATAGCAACAGATATCGCACTTGATGAATTGTCTCTCCATCTTCAAGGTTGGTGATTTTAAGAGGACTTGTGATTGGTGCCATAATGACGATGGGCAGAGGCTATGTGATGAGGTGAAGTCAATTGAGTGGAAATATCAAGGAGATGCTGAAAAGGCTGGTTGATTGATTGTGGAGGAAATGAATGTTTTGTTAACTTCAAGTCTTGCGTTATCCTCCTTATATCTTCCCAGGCGCTCTGGAGGAGTTGATACCCCTTGCGCAAGTATTCAGGCAGCTGTCCAGATTGAGACTAGTTCCAACGATGCTGCCTGTTGTGCATCCGCTTGCGAACTTGCACCAGGCGCCATCCGGTCCGCGATCAATCCGTAACGGCTCGCGATATTAAACATCTCTTCTGGTTCGACTTGCTGCCTACAATACTACAAGGGACATGATGGTGCTGAATACTTCCTTGGAATGAAGCTGTTATTCCCGGGCTGCGTCCGTACTAGATGAGTGATATGCGTGCACTCGGTTTCGACATTGACGTCCAGAAGTTCAATACAGGCGACCGAGTTTATCAAAATGAATAGCTTGATTGGAGTGAAGTGGCAGTCATTGTTGATGACGAGCGAAGCTGCGCGCGTGGCTGGAGATGGTGGAATGGCAGGATAATGTGTTTACATCTTCGAGTGGAGTGTGCACAATGTCCATCTGCGCGTCGCCTATCGGTGAGTTCATCAATGTAGGTCTGAGGAGCGAATACGATATTCAAGCCTTTTGGCCTGGTCGGAGTCGGCGCGATTGTTGCAGCGATCCAGACGCGTGGCGCCAGATCAATCAGGGTCTTCGCCTATCTTGAAAATGTGGACCGTGCGCCGATCACCAGAATCTAGACACAACGGCGTTTTCGCCATCCCACATTCTCTCGTCTTGTGTCAAACCGCCATCATCCAGCGTACCCACACCAGACCTAGTCCCAAGTTTATCCACAATGGCTTCTCTCTTATCATCCAACTCCAGCATGAGCATATGTGACATACGCAACTGACCTCAGCCCGTGCTATTACTTGTGTACATACGCTTCGCCCACGATAAGACGTTGAGGGGCACTACTGTTTATACCATCATACTCGCTCGTCCGCCCGCCTAGCATCTCCTGAAGAGAGCACCGAACTACTCACCTGCCATTGCGCTTTGTTGTGCTGCTAATCACGTCAAAACTGCTACCATGGACACTACCGAAAGCGACTCTTCTGTCCCCATAGCCGGTGACTCGGTCTTTAGTATTTCACGACCGTCATCTGCCTCTTCGATCCGCCCTGCCGACACGCCGAAAGACCTCCCCGCGGGCGCCCCCGTATCTCACCTATTCCAGGTTCGACACACACCGACCGCCGGCCGTGCCGTTTTCGCTACCCAAGACATCCCCGAAGGCACACTTGTATGGCAGTCAACGGATCTTACACTGTGCGTGTTGCTACGCGAGTATAGACGTGAGGTGTGCGGGCAATGTTTTGGGTACGACTATGGACGAGATCTGAGCATACGAGACAAGACAGTGGGATTTGCTTTCTGCTCAGAAGCGTGTCAGAAAACGTGGCAGGAGGAGCAGGGGGAGATTGGGATCCAGACTTGGACTGCTGTTGAGAATCTGATCCGAAAGAGGAGCAAAGAAGATAGTGACATGGTGGACGTTGACATGCCGCGGCCCAAGAAAAAAGACATTAGCAAAGCTTGGGATAGTGTGGTTGGGCAGGCGGAGTTGATAAGGAGTGCAAGGGAAGCGGAGCAAGCGGATGGTGTGGACGGCCAAGCTGCGGTGGCCATTTCGAAGCAGCACAAAAAGGCTGTTTCCAAGGCGCTACAGGGACGTATTACCCCCGACGTGATGAGTTTCTGTGTCAGTGGTATCTTGTGGCGCCACCATCATCCTGAGCAGTGGGAGCGATTAGAGGCGCTTGCAAACGACAACACGCCGTACCACAGTTCTGATGATCTGGATGCTTTCACACGGGCCTACCTGCACTTGCTTGCGATTCTGCCCGTGGAGCTCCTCCCACTGGTGACGGCGGAAACGCTTCTCACGCTGTCGAAGCGCGACTCGCACAATTCGTTTGGCATTCGCTCGCTCGAGGACGAAGGGTCCGAGTTCTTCGGCTATGGATGCTGGCCGGCTGCAAGCTACTTCAATCACTCGTGCGGGCCGAACATTGAGAAGAAGCGGGAGGGGAGGATATGGTATTTCAGGGCGGGAAGAGAGATTGAAAAGGGACAGGAGCTGTGCATTACGTATTTGAGTGGAGAGGAGAGGAAGCTGAGTCGCGGGCAGAGGATGCTGAGGCTGAGTAAGACGTGGGGATTTGATTGTGGATGCGAGAGATGCGAGGCGTTGTAGAATGGATGGCCGTAGTGTGCAGTAGCGATTGGTAAGGCATATCGTTTGCATCAACAGTTGGGGTGAGCATGTTGCCAAGAGCGACATGGGCTGAGGCTGTGGTGCGGCCATTGGCTGGCTAGGAAGGGCCGGCATCACAGGCAATGGGCCGGTAGCTGTCAGGTGGAGAGCAGAGCAAATGGTAGCAGTAGTGTATTATTGATGATTACAGACCCCGTGCGCGAAGGAGCTTGCTGGAGACCCATCGTCAACTAATGGGACAGCGGAAGCCGGATCGGGCATCGGGCCGAAAGTATATGCGCCTGAGGAACAGCCCAAGGGCACATCTGCATCTTCCGGGCCGACACATGGGCTGCACATGGCGGGCATGCTTGTAGTGTATGTACTTGGAGGCCAATCTGTCGTGCGAGTTACGCCACAGGCGTCAAAGGATGTTTGTGTGCAGAGGCGAGGGCGCAAGGCGAGTGATTGACGTCTTCTGAGGCGGTTCCCACTAGGCAGTGACGTAAGAGATCCGCCGCACTAAATGGACCCTGCAGACGGACTAGGACCGTTGGGTTGCGAGCAGAGAGTCCAAAGGAATTAATCCATCGGGGGAGGGGGGGGGGCGTCGAGCAGAGACGGCGGGAGATTGCGTCCCCAGCAGACGGACAGGCAGCGGGCAAGGGCAGGGGGTGGGCTTTTTCATGGGCTCTGCCTTGATTGTACATGCATGTGGCCGTTGGGGCCCATTGGCATGGTCGGATTGGCATGCTAAGAGAGCGTCTTCTCTTCCAAGGCCTGTCTGAGGGCTGCATGCAGTGTGGCGTAGGCCGCCCCGTGCCTAGCGAGCTTTGTGAGCCTCTAGTTGACGGATCCGCTCAACCTCGCGGCATGCCATGGAGCTGAAAGAGGGCTGCCGGCCATTCCGCGGTGCGCCGCTATGGCAAGAGTGCATTCGCGCGGAGGTAGCGTGTGTGGTGAAGAAGAAATATCAAGTCGTTGCCCACATGCTACATAGAGCTTATTAGAGGCACCGTCGCAGCCGCCAAACTTCCTCTTGTTCCATCCGATTGATTGCCTGCCTGCCTGCCCGTGAGCGGCCAAAAAACTGCAGTCTGACGAAACCAGATAGCCCCGCGCAAACCACTACCACACTCCCACTACTGCCTGCGACTGCCCATCATCAACACCTGCTATACACCCTACTAGCCCTACACCCACCCTAGAGCACTGTACAGCACTGCACTCTACTCTACTCTACTCTAGCATCAGCCGCACCCCCCCCAAGGCCACATCACACCAAGCACAGCCCGTTCTGTCCACGTCCGACGGCAAACCCTTGCTCGCTCTGGGCTAGCCACAGCAAGCACCACCAGCACCACCACACCCTGCGACGTCTTTGACGCGGCACGCCAAAATATCCAGACGAGCGTCATACCTCCACCCTGACCACTACTGCTGCTACCAAACGCGGCGTCACTGTACCGTACTCATACAGTATTGGCTTTGGTGGAGAACAGCCACGCCCACATCGAGATCCAGAGCTGCCCTTCCCCGCGAAGCACATGCAATTCCAGTCCACGCCCAGCTCTCCACGGAGCGGGCGCAAGAAGATGAGCTTGCCAGTAATTGAGGTGAGACGACTTGTTTTTTTTGGTCTCCCTGTTTTTTTTTCTTCTCTTGCTGTTCTCCCGCCCATCTTGCATCCTGTCCCCATGTTTTTCCTCTCCGACTGCCGCAGTGGCACACACGCCCACCCACGCCTCAGTCAGGGGCGCGACGGGCACAATAACGCCCCATGGCCGCCTCAGGGCTGGCGCGCGTGGTTGCAGCTTGTTTGGCGATGATGTAGCCCGCATCGTCATCTGGCGCACGGACGCGTTATGACGCATGTCGCTCCTACTCTCCTGCTCAGGCCTCACCTCACGCCTTCCCTCGCTCGTGCACGCCTTTCTCTTCAACCACCACCACCACCTTTCCCATTGTCTTTTTTTCCCATTTTCTCCGCCACCAGTCCACTGCCGTGACACTACCGTCCCGTTGCATTCTTCCCCTTCTCCTTCTTTTGCTGCTACTACTGTTGCTGCTACACCCGGCTATACTCGGTCGTATCAAGCCCATCTCTGCCTATATCCGTCTCCCAGCCCAAGCGACCCCGCCATCCCCAGCGGCTTTGTAATTCACTCCTGTCCACGCACACGCACACTAAACATGGCCGCCATACAGAATTTTAAGAACTTCCTGCGCCATGGCAAACAGGCCCGCCACAACGCTGAGCCCACGACAAATGTATCCAATGTCCATGCCCAGTCGCAACATCAACGCTACAACCAGGCTCCCGAGCCCGCACATCATGGCATCTCGGAGCCCGTAATGGACCACAAGCCCCTTCAAAACAACCCTGCTCCCCATGGCGACTACTCGGTCGGCGCTGGCGCTGGCGACAACCGTCACATTGCCGCTCAAGCAGGCGACGCCGCTGCTCGTGCCGTTGCCGACAACCAGAAGAAGCAGGCTGCCGCAAAGGGCGCCGGTGTTGACCCTTCTGTACTCGAGCGCATTGTTGCAGAGGAACGCGAGGCAAAGGGCAAGCTGCCCAGATACCCTGGCCTCGAGCGCTGGACACTGCTCGAGAAGATGGGTGACGGTGCCTTCAGTAACGTCTACCGCGCACGAGACAACACTGGCCAATGGGACGAAGTCGCCATCAAGGTCGTTCGTAAGTTCGAGATGAACTCACAGCAGGTCAGTACTACCCAAATCCCTTGCCCAAACCCTCTGCCCCACCTCCTGCCCTCTTGCCCATTTCTACAATGTCGTCATTCCTCTCCCTTACCCGATCCCGCACCGAGAAGAAGTTGGGTGTTTTTTGGACGTTACCAACGCGAGGCCGGTGTAGGACAAGCATATACATCCGGACTTCAAAGCGCCAAAAGCAGCAGAGGTGCGATAGATTTACTTCCCTGATGCTCGACTTCCTAGCATCCTCGTTTCCCATCATGCATGGACTTTTGTGGGCAGACACTAACTGCCCTATAGAGAGCAAACATCTTAAAGGAAGTACAAATCATGCGCCAACTCGACCACCCCAACATTGTCAAGCTCATTGACTTTTCCGAATCACGGCAATACTACTACATTGTCCTCGAGTTGTGCCCCGGCGGTGAACTGTTCCACCAAATCGTTCGCCTTACCTACTTTTCAGAGGACCTTTCTCGCCACACCATTATTCAAGTCGCCAAGGCTCTGCAATATCTGCACGAGGAGGCGGGTGTTGTACATCGGTTCGTATTCTGCTCTTACGTCAACGAGATCAACCACTGACGTCATAACCAGAGACATTAAACCTGAAAACCTTCTTTTCTACCCAATTCCGTTTGTCCCCACCAAAAACCCCAAGCCAAGAGGGCCTGATGATGAGGAAAAGGCTGATGAGGGCGAGTTCGTCAAGGGTAAGGGTGCTGGTGGCATCGGTCTGATCAAGGTTGCCGACTTTGGTCTCAGCAAGGTCATTTGGGATACCCAGACAATGACACCTTGCGGTACTGTCGGTTACACCGCTCCTGAAATTGTCAAGGATGAGCGCTACTCCAAGAGTGTTGACATGTGGGCACTGGGTTGCGTGCTCTACACTCTTCTTTGCGGTTTCCCACCATTCTACGACGAATCCATCCAGACTCTTACCGAGAAGGTTGCGCGTGGCCAGTACACTTTCCTTTCTCCCTGGTGGGACGACATCTCCAAGTCTGCCCAAGACCTGGTGTCCCACCTACTGACAGTAGACCCTGAGAAGCGTTATGACATCAACCAGTTCCTCAACCACCCATGGATACGTGAGGCTGACGAGCCTACTTATTCTGCTTACGACGCACCACCTCTTGCGACACCTGCTGCCAAGAAGGAGCGTCTTCAGCCAGACTTTACCCACCTTGAGTCGCCAGGTGCGCGCCGCATGGACTTCCGTTCGCCAGGTGCCGTCAACCTTCGAGAAGTTTTTGATGTCAGTTATGCTGTACATCGTCAAGAAGAGGAGGGAAAGAGGAAGAAGCAATTCAAGCAAGGATACCGTGGGGCAAACGCCATGAACTCTTTGAATGCACTTGACGAGAACGAAGACGATGATGAGTACACTGCCGAGTCCGTACCATACGATCCCTCGTCACAACATCCACCAGCGAAGCTTCCCAAGTCGCAAGGTGCCGACGTGTCTGGTATGGAGCAGAAGATGCGCAACACCACATTATCTGCCGCAGCCCAAGCACGTCAACAGCAAGCTGCCGCACCACAACAACGGGGTTATGGCCAACATTCTGCCGCTGTAGCAGCCGCGGCTAAGCGCCAGGTCAAGAACAAGGGTGCCTTTGAGCTCAACATGGACACATCGAGTATTCTGGGCCGCCGAGCCAAGAAGGGACCTGCGCCCAGTGGTCTAAGAAACAACATCTCTGTTGGTGGAACATGACAATCATCGTCACTTACAAAGGATTGGTAAAGAGCTGGCGCGCTTTTTGACAATGGGAATTGCTATGAGAAGTCATGACGGCGTAGAGTGTGGTTTTCCTTTCTTGTCTTTCATTGCTCAATTTTCTTTTTTGGTGTCTGTCTCTGTGTCTCTGTGTCTCTGTGTCTCTGTGTGTTTCTTCTTTTTTTCCCACCGATTTTAGTTGGGTCATATCCATGTAGTGGAACGTCCTATTCTCCTCTCATAGCATTAGTTTGTAGTAAGTAGTCACTGTCCTTTTCGATGTGCAAAAAAGGGGCCATCCAACGCGCCTTTGTGCGCTTTCTTGTTCTTCTGGGCATGAGAGGGGGGAGGATAAGCGTTTTATGTGTATGTGGATGGATGGATACAAACAAGGGGACATGCCACATAACGGCCACAAACCCATGTGAACTTGGACACTTATCAATGAAAATATCATCGGGAAAAACAAAAACGGAGAGACATGAGAACATGTATTAGAGAAGTACTTATGCGTCACCTTTGCCCATTCACATACCACACACACACACACACA